CAGCGCATATCAAGTGTTCGACAACATACCTGACCTAGACTCGTGAGTTTTTTCTCTGAGTGTGGTCTGTGTCAGGGCATTGGTTGGTCCTTAGACTTGGTGTCACATATTTTCATCGATTTATTGCTTGATATGTCATCCCTTAGTGCGTTTTATGGCCGTGTTTTCCCTTTGTTCCGTGATGGGTGCTCTTTTGTCCTTTGTCCTGTGTTCGACCGAGGCTGAGGCGTCACTGTGTTGTGCTCGGTTGGAGGGAGAGTAGGGTCAGTCGAGTCGGAGTTGGGTCGAATAGTTTTGTTGAGTTGTGTACCCGTTTGTTCACCGGGGCCGAGCAATGATAGGTTTTAGGATAGGGCGGGATTTAGATGCATAGTTGTTGGGCTGGGCTGGTTAGATTAGGCATAGTGGACTTAGGTTTATAATAGTTTTTGGGCTGGGCTTGGTTTTTCTTTTTATTTTTTGGCCTTGGGGGGTTGCCGGACTAGGCTCATTTGATGAGCCCACTCCAACAATGGACCCAGGCCGCCCAAGTCAGTCCCGCCCTGGGTCGGATCCAAAAATCCGATCCGGGTCATTTTTTTTTTTTTATATAATATAATATAATAACATTATTTTAATATTGTTGACATCTAAATTTTGATAACTTATTTTGTCATTTATTGCATAGAAAATCAGGGATCGACCCCGGCCCCTAGTAAGCATATAGCCATTAGGATCATATTTCATTTAAATGCATTTAATTGGACCGACGGTGAATGGACTTGATTGAACTAATTGGACTAAGCCCATGAGAGCTAAAACATTGGAGGCTTTGAGCTTAAGTTTATTAAAGCCCATTATTTAAATGTGGTTGGAAAATATTCCCACAAGAATAAAAATTGGATGACGCTTTTTCCACTTCAACTATGGCTAAAACATTCCTTATCACCCTTACCAAAAAAATTTTAACCTTACCAAAAAAAATAAAATATTCCTTATCACAATATTTTGACAATATTAACATTTTTTGGATCCCACATTTTTCTTAAGCATTCTTCAATTGTTTTTCTTCTTTCTCTTTTTCTCGCTATGCCACTTTTCTTCTTCTCATTTTTTTGTCTCTTTGTTCTCTCTCTCTTTCTAAAACAACCGCTCTCATGCCAATAATAGACAAGTTTTTTATGCAGTGAGCTATGCAGCGAAATTGAGTCCAATTCCTTCTTTCTCTGTGCATTCTTTTGGATTCAAACTAGAAATTTTGAGATTGTAGTTTGAGTTTAATTGTTACTAAGAGAAAGTGAGGCTCAATCATTAAGATTTTCTTTGCATCTCATACCTTTGTTTTCTGCACTCGGTTTCTTTGCTCGTTAAACTTGAAGTTTGGACTTAGCGTGACGAGATCTTTAGTTTCAACAAATTTCCGATAGAATTTCTCTATTGCATTTTTACTCGTTATGTAATTGGATTGTTTCTTGTTGTTTTTATCAATAAACACTGACTATTTGCTATTGCAATCTGCTTTGTTGGGTGCACCACGTAAGTTGGGATGGATGTGTGAGCTTTGTAATTTACCCCCTTTGTTCAAATTCAACCATGAGGTGATCGATTATTTTCTTGTAATTATGTCCGTCACCAGCACACACCAAAACGTCCGTCACCAACACAAGCGACTAGTCCTCTTCCATCTCCATTTCTTCACCCCCATTCCCTCCCTTTTGCTCTCTGTTTTATTTGTTGTCCCATTTTGCATCAAACTATTCGATCGATCATTCACGAAGACAAGAAAAACCCCATTAAAGATTCAAATCCAGGAGCTGAAGCCCTCACCCAAATCCTCATCAAGCTCACCAACAATGGCCGCTTCTCCGTCTTCATCTTCTTGGTCCTCATAGTCACCGTCATCACCGATTCGCCATCACCTACTAGCCTCCAGATTCATGGCTCGAATCTGCCCATGCGCTCACTCTCACTAAGTTGTTTACTCAAACCGAAAATGCCACCTTCAAGAACGACAATCCCATCCTCAAGATTGGCGAGGATTTGCCCTTCCTCGCCCCCACAGTCTCTCCTACTTCCTACTGATCTTGGTTACCGAATCCACCCTTGCTCTCGTTAAGTTTTTTGACATATACTACCAAGGCTCGAACCCTTATCAAAATTAAGAGAGAACCAAGAGAAGTAAAGGAGGAGGAGGAAAATGGAACCCACGAGAAAAGACAAAATAAATCAAACGGAACACCATAAGCAAACAAAAAAGGATGGGACATACAAAGGTTAATATTGTCAAAATATTGTAATATTGAGTATTTTAGTCACAGTGGGAGTGAAAAAAACGCCACCCATAAAAATTTGGCCAAAGCCCATTACATGCTTTCTTGGCCGAAGATTGCACGGGAGGTGAAGATCGTCCAGGGAGAGAAGATTCGGTAGGGAAAGAGATTCATGGCCACAATCAAATAAAAATATTCGCACGGATTGGTCAATAGAAGGAAGAAATATTTGGTTGAAAAGAAAGGGAAAGAACACATATTTGTCCAAGGAAAAGTCGGTGACCGAAGGAAAATATAATAAAAGAAAGGAAATTGTGCCTTTGGCCATGCAACATGCGATTGAAAAGAGGAAAGAAATTTTGTTTCTTTCCTGGTGGGGCTCCATTGCTTTGCATATAAAAGAAGTTGATAGGAACAATACAGAGGGACATTGGCAATTGATAGAATACACGACATTGAGAGAGAATAGAGAGAGGAGGGCTCTCTGACGACACTCAAAGAAAAGACAAGACAAGAGAGAGAGGGTCGTCTTCCCCCTTTGGCCCTGCGTCTCCACGGCCGCGACCGAGTTCTCCCCAACTCCACGATTTGGCGTTGCTTCCTTGCTGCGAGCTTGACATCAACCCTGACGTTGTTGCTCTGGTTTGAGCTGCCCCTGTTCGTGACGACGAATCCAGCCACCCTGAGCCGCCGTGCCTGCTCCCTCAACGAGCCAACTGATCCGAGCTTGTCCGACGTGTTACTGCCCAACCCGCCGTGCCTGCTCTGCCCACGACACGCCTAGCCGAGACCACCCCGACAACGGTGCTGCTCCTGCTGCTGATTTGCCTCTGCACCGACGCCTGAGACGTTGCTCCGCTAGTGTTGCAGTGTCGCGAATCCCTTAGAGGGAAGCTGCTGTCGTCCCGAGTTCCCCGGTGTTTCTGCTCAATCTTGCCGTCGCCGCTGATCCGGTGATTTTGCTGCCTTCACATTGCGAACCCAGCTGCAACGAGTCTCTGTCGCGCCGCTCCTGCTTGACTCACCCCAATCCTGCTCAGTCCCCAGACACCCCCACACCGTGAGTTACTCTGTTTTTGCAGGTGCCTCTCAAGAGCTGTCTCGGCTAAGACCCTCTTTGGCCGAGTTTCCTCCCCATCCGTGAGCTCATCTGTGAACTTGCTACCATGAACGTCGCTGGTCCCGAGCCGTAATCCACCGCCGGTCACCGTCCTGTTCATAGTCCGTCAAATTCGATTCGGAAACTCCATCGGCGCAATATTTTGAATTAGGTAAGAATTTTATTTAATTTGATTTTCAAATATTTTGTTTACTTAATTAAATATTGCGATCTAAATTGAGTCTGATAATGCGTATCCGTAAAATATTCAAATATCCCCAAGTTAGGAAACTTTCCTAACTTAACAACATGCTTGGACGACAATCTGATGCCCGGCAGTATAGAAAATCTTCAATCCTATTCATAACCACTTAGATATGATTGTTGATTTATTTTGTTTCCAAATTTAAACAAAAAACCTTCCATTGATATCCATAACCACTTGGATATGATTGTTGGTTTATTTTATTTTCAAATTTAAACAAATAAGATAAATTTTGCGGATTGTGTGGATATTATTTGATGATGGATGTTTATCTTTTAATTGATTTGTTTCCCCATAAAAGAAAATACAAAAAATATATCATGATAGATTAGGTTAAATTTTGTTAGATAGCCTTGCATGTTTAGATAGATTTTAGAGATAATCTTATATTAGAATCATGCTAAATAAAATTTCCCTGTTAAGTTAGGATATTATGGACAGATTGCAAATTTATTAGATTTTAGGACATTATAATTACATTCCGATTTAAATTAGGATTTAACGTAGATTATTTCCTAGTTTAAGTTCGACATTATTATCATCTTGATAGTTCACTTAGGGTAATTTTTTAATTACGAGTTTTAACAAAAATACAAAAAAATACATCATATGTCCGTCATGGTAGCTATGTCATTTAATTGCATGTCATATTTCATACGTCATTGCATATAAGTTAGCGGGATATGTACACTAGAAGTCCAAAAACTTGTCTCCGAAGTGCAATTGAGTTTTAAAACATGCAAAAAGTGCAATCAAATCCTAAAATTTATCAAATTGATTCAATCAAGTCATAAAGTTAACACCGTCAAATTTACTAACGGAAAATGCTGACGTGGCTTATTTTAATATTTTGTCTCTCCTACATAGCAATAACGTGGCTGAAACGACATCGTTTAGCCCAAATTTTATTTTTAATACATTTAAATTAAATTTTAAAAAAAAGCTAAAATAAAAAGGAGAAGGAGGACAGGCGAGGAGAGAGGGCAAGCCCTCCCCGCCACCGCCGCCGCTGCCCCACATCGCCGAGAGGGGTCGACGAGGGTTGGGAGACGGCAGGTGGGGGTCGCTAAGCCCCAGCCAGGGGCCGGCAACCCTCGCCGACGGCAAGTGAGGCCTGCAGGCCCTCTCTCCCCGCCTATTGAGCAATTTCATTGAAATGAATCTCTCTTTACCTCCTAATTGCTCAACATGAATCTCTCTTTACCTCCTACATTCACTATATCTCCAAATCCAGTCGCCAAACTACATCAGATAAAAATTAACAACCGATCAGCAACTCCTCTACCAACTATCATTTCAACTTCCAAACTTGCGGATGAACTCCCCAAGCAATCTTTTGTGTATTAATGTAAAAACAAAGTACACTTGCTCAACAATTAAGCTTTCCAAACAACACAGAGAAGCAAACATTCAATTTTTACTGTCTTAAATCTGACAGAGAAGCCCCCTCTGAAACAGTAGACTAGAAGTACACGCTTACACACCAAAACCACCTATTTTCGTCAAATTAGGACTTCTTAACACATCATCCTATATACGCAACGAACTGCTCAATAGAAATATATATACCTTCTTCATTACCATTCGACAATCAAGCTTCCCAAACAGCACAGAAGACAAAATAATTCTAACAAGCATTAAAAACAACCACCATGCTGCTGTCTTCCGCCTCCCAACGAATTATGGTGTGACCGTGCATTGTCTATGCCTTCAAATCGTTCGATTCTTTCATCCTGGGATGTTGAAAAGAATTTGATGACCCCTGTACAAAGGAATAAATAATATATTGAGAAAAAGCACATAAAAAATTATCCAATGAAACGATTTTATGATAGCACATAACCATTAAACCATAATTCATTGAAACACGTATGCAAAAAATAGATTGGCTAAACGATTTTATAGATTAGCACATAACCATTAAAGCTACCTTAGAATTATCAGAAGGGGCTCGATTTTTCTCAAAAGCCCTGCTCTCGAGCATCCTTATCAAGCGCATACCATCTATATTAGCAAAAACTTTGATGCCATTATCACTTGTTGTGACAGCTAACAAAGAACTCTCCTTATTAAATCTAAGTCTTGGGCTAGCCTGCAATGAAAAAAGGAACTGAATTCCCAATTCCAGCTACAGTACCAATTTGCACATCTATATAAAAGCAGAAAAAAGCTAACAGGCAACCCGCCATCCGCATCAACAGCCGTCAACATGCTGGCATTCTCCATATCCCAGAATTTAATTTGAAATTCATCTCCAGCAGCTAGGAAATGATTCCTTGTTGTGTCAAACTGGACAATACCTAAAGATCGCTTCCTGAAACCTGAATATGTCCTCTTGATAGCACCCTCGGTCTCGTTCCACTCAACCAAATGGGAATCACCCTCTTTACTGGTTCCACAAGAAAACAGCTTGCAAGATGGACATCCAATTTCCATACCTTGTATTATCAACTAAAGCAGTAAGCATTAAGAGAGAACTAAGATTATGACTAATGCGTGTTCACCTATCACTTCTGACATGTAACAAAAAAAAGTTACTACTTTATTCGAAAAAAACAACATGATCACTGTGAATGCAAGTGCTTGCAAGCCAGATATACCAATGCTTGTAGTGTCAGCATATTGCCTCAATAGAAGACCAATACAATATAATACTGAGTGTTTGAACAGCGGCTACTTCTAGGTTGAGGTTGGCTGTAAGAGACCAAAAGCAAGCAATAAGATCCCCCATCGACAACAGCTCATAGAAACGAAATCCAAGGACTAGGTTGAGAAAACTTCTTCTATGGGCTTCATCTAGTTTCAGAGACAGAGAAACAATGTACTCGCATGGCAATTCCCCATGAACCAAAAGTGTTCCAAAAATGCGTTCCTGTCTTTCGTGAAGAAACAGCTAGCCAACTAGCATTTCTGAGGCAACATGCTACCTTGTTCCATCCGCACTATAAGCCATCATGGTGTACCATCGACCGGGAGCATCATAGTCCACTCTAGATCCCAGGCAATCGTACAGCCAAGCTTCTATCTTCCCATCAATGGCAGTGGAGAAAATAAACTGCAATAATGAAAAAGTGAGTTATATAGTCAACTCTGGAAAACTTCTATCAAAATAAATTTACCAGCTGCACATCTAAATCGGAAAAACTGGTAATACAGTCTGCTTGAAATGATAGAGTATAAGCCAAGAAAGTAGAAACCGGCAAACTGCTCTCAAAGCAGATGAACCTGAATATTTTCCTTGTAATGTGGGCAGACTGAATACACTGGAGCTTCATCGGAGCAAGGGTGGTCTTAATGTGCTTCGTCGGCGACAGTCGGGAACAGCCGCTTGACAAAGGCTAGAGCAACAAGGAACGCCAGAGCAGCGAGCAAGCGTCGGATCGCGAGAGAGGGAGACCTTTGCTTCGTTAGAGCAGGGTGGCCTTAATGTGCTTCGTCGGCAAGGGCAGAGAAATTACTTTTTTGTGGAGAAAACAGCAGAGCATCAGCTAGTGTGCAGGCTAGGAGAGAGAGGATGAAATTACTTTTTGTGGAGAAAATCGTGGGCTGGTGAGCCGGCCCCATAGAGCCACGTGGAGCCACGTCAGTGGTCCGGGACCACGCTGACGTGAAGGTCCCGGACCACCCAATATTTTCTCGTAGCTTCCTATCTTTGTCGTGAACGACGTGAGGGAGAGAGAAAGAAGTGGATGGAGGGCTGGTCTTGAGAAGAAGGAGGGAAAGAAAGAAAGGGCCAAGCCAAGAAAAGAAAGGAAGAAAAAACAAGCAAAAAGGGGTAGGCCTAAACAAGAAATGAGAGAACAAAAGGGTTAGGTCGAGCCGGCCCAATTCCTTTTTTATTTTTATTGTCCCTTTTTAGTTTTTACATTATACGGTTCATTTACATTTTTAGGCGCCGATTTACCGGACTGGCAAAATCAAGTGTCAACAACATGCATCATGCATCAAGAATCCACATAGATAATGTTTTGAACAAATGATTTGGGCAAAGTAAAAGGGAGTGTTGAATATGCTAAATGAGATGTGTCGATATGATGTAAGGCAAGCCATGTTCCATGCACCGTCCCATGCACTAATCCCAATGAGTTGAGTGGAAAAATTCTATGTCTGTAGGGTAAAGGGTTATCTTGCAAAAGGTAAGGCAACTGAAGTGATGAGAGGCGTTTCATTCGTCTATTTCAAACACTACAAGTAAACCCTTGCTTAGCCATTTTGAGCCCAAACACTTATGAAGCTTCTTTTCATATTGCCCTTGTTAAGAACCACCCACATCGGGGCAAACTGGAGGTGAGTCGGCATCTTGAGGTGAGGAAATAGGTAGAAATTTACATGTTCTCACTTGCATCAATCTTTGAGTGTCTCTATTACAGGTGAACTAACATGGAGATTCAAGTGCCTTATAACGATGAAGAGCAGTTCTTTCTTTATCCTACACACTTATATTCATTGCATAGCCCAATTGAGCGTACAATTTCATTCCGTATGAACCCAGTTAGTGATCATCTCCCACACTGGGGCAAAGCAAAGGTCAACACTACTCGAACAATATGGTTCGAAGCGCAGATTGAAGATGAAGACCCTAAGAGTCTTAAAGTGTCACGCCTCGGACCCCACCGAGCCCGCGACATCCCTCTGTGGTTGTATTTTGAATGCGACGTCCTAGGACTCGTCGTCGACCCAAACGAAACTTCAAGCATAGAACGCACGCGGAAGCAATTATAACACTTAGACAAGATTAGAGATCAAGGGTAGTAGGAGAACACTTGAACAAATCAACCACATACTTCATTCAACGACACATACTTACAAAATCCAACCTTACATACAAAAGACCACTAAGGTTAAAACCACCATCATAAAAAAGGGACCGATGGTTGGGTAGGCTAGCCTAGCTATACAAAAAGGGCCCACAAAAAGGGTTTCTAGACTTAGCACTAAAACACCACTACGACTCCCAATCCGAGTCGGAACTCGCAGACTCAAGCTCCGACTCCATGAGTTTCTCTTCGGGCTCCTCCTCCATTGGCTCTTCTTCGGGATCGAACTCCATTGACTCTTCTTCGGGATCGGATTCTATTGGCTTTGGGATGGCCTCCTCGGGTTCCTCTCCCAGCTCTGACTCCATTGACTCCTCGTCGAAGTCAGACTCCACTATCACCGGCCAGGGGTCGGAATCTTCGGGAGCGGTATCCGGGCTCGTGACCACACTATCGGGAGCGAGAGCCGCTGAGGGATCCCACTCACCTACCCCATTAAACGGAACATCGCAGTCCCGAAGTAGTCCATAGATGCCGTATAAATCCCGATAATAGTAAGCCCGATACGTATTAGGCTGCAGCGTCTGACTACCCACGTCTACCCACACCACAGTAGTATGCTTAATATAGACCTCCTCGTATCCTACGTGGTATTCCATCACTGAGTGCTTAGTATGCCTCGGGATCCCAAAACGATCCGGCGGATTGCTCATGGTCGGGGTCGAGGGTCTGAAATGGTTATATAATAACCATGAGAACGAGTCTCAATAAGCAACACCCTAAACCCTACCTAGGCTAACACGTACCTCCAGACAAATAGATAACACCCAACACATTTAATCAACATGCAATAACATTCAAAGGCACTCTCTAGCCTTACCTCGATGCATATATATATATATCCTTGCACGTTAGTTGGATCGCTGTCGCGATCGACCTCCCGCTTCTTTTTTTATATCGAATATGTGCAGCAAAAAAAAAATAAAGGGGGTTTCGCCTGGTACATGCTAAGTCTAGGTTCGGGACTTAACTCGAGCTCTCCCAAGCCCATACCATATTGCGACTTAGGGTTTAAGTATTTAACATGCAAATGGTTTATACCAAGGAGTCGCCACTAATCGATTTGGGGTGGGTCGATTAGAAACCCAAATAAGATGATGGGATAATCACCCTATTCCTGCGAACCAGAGATTAACTGAGTTCGAGGACTTGGTTACACTAGTTAGATAACTAATGCCTTTTCGGTACCTTTTTATCCTGTTCATTTCTGAAAATATTTGTCAAGCAATTTGGATTGATTTTAGGACCTTTCTCCTAACATGTGAGATGATCAAGCGAGTGCATAATCATAAATGATCAGCAGTCAAAATAGATATGCAGCCTAAGGTTCTAGCCCTAACTAAGTCAAATGATATTCAAAACACAACAATTCATGCAATTGTATTTTAATTAAAAATATGCATAATGATAACGCAACGGTAATAAAAATAACATGCAAAATACTACCGCGCAACCTCATAGGCTTGTCTAATTTAAACATAGCAATTTATGAAATTATAACAGCATGCATAATAATACAACAATAAATTAAAACATTCACATATATCACATAATTTAGAAAAATAAAAAAAATTAATTAAAAAAAAAAAGGAAAATAAGGAGAGAGAAAAACAAAGAAAAAAAATTTTAAATTTTTTTTAAAATATAATATTATAATAATATAATATTAAAACCGGGTCGGGCCGGCGGATCCGGGTCGGTTAGAACCGACCCGGGTCAACGGACCCAACCCATAGCGTTGACTCGGGTCGGATCACCGGATCCGGGTCGATAAAAACCGACCCGGGTCAACGGACCCAACCCATAGCGTTGACCCGGGTCGGATCTTGGGCTCTGAACCTGGTCAGGGGTCAACCCGGGTCATTGACCCGGGTCATTGACCCGGGTCTGGACCGGATCGGGCCCGGTTAGGGCCCAGTCCGATGGTTATGGACAAAATAGGGCCAGTTCGACCGGGTTGAACCGGCCCAGATGGCTTGACCCGGTCTGACCCGGTGTACAGACTGGTCCAAACCGGTTCTCACGTGCCACAGGCACGCGAGAACATCGGCCGGTGAGATCCGGTGTCTCGCTGGCCGACCCAAGCCAAATCAAGCCCGATTTTCACATTGAGAGACCCCTACGAAGCTTCCTCAGTCACCCTACTTGCCGTCCGGCCACGCACTCACCGGCTGGCGACCAAAATCAAACCTGTTTCACTGGGGCATTTCGTCGAACGCCTGGCGTGCACTGCTTAAAAATGGAATTTTTGACCTGTTCCAGCGACCTGATTGGCTCCGACGGCCTAGCTTGCCTTTGGTGACGACACATGGGCTACGGGGAACAATGGTATGGGCCGGGATTCATGCGAAACGGCCGGCGCGAGTCCCGGCCAAACCGAACACCAAAACAGGGCAAAACAGGGGCAGTTGGGGGCCAGAAGAGGCTCACCGATCGACGGCGCGTCTGGGGGGGGTCTCCGGCTGATCTGGGGGCGACGGCGACGCTGCTGGACTCCTTCTCGCGGCCGGCGAACTCTCAGTATTCTCTCTCTCTCTCTCTCTTTCTGTTCTCTCTCTTCTCTCTCTGTTTCTCAAAACGGCCGACCGGGCCTCTCTCTCTCTCTCTGGCTATATATAGCCGACGACCGGTGTGCCCCCCTGCTCCATTACGTCTGGTGACGATGGCCTGCACCGGCCTATCCTGGCCTGCGACTTTCGTGGCCATTTAGGCCGGTGCAGAGGGGGCGCCAGTTCTGTGAGGAATGGCAGAGGAAGAAGGAGAGAGAGAGAGAGACCGGGAAATGGGGAAGCCGGGACTGGCCATTGGCGTGCTTCTTCGGCTTCCTCTGACCGGATGGGGACAGCGCGGCCGCGCTCGGCCGCTCGTCGAGTCGACGTCAGAAACAGAGGAGA